CTATGCTAGGTGATCCCACACTACGTCTTTACTTTAGGCTTATTATACCAACACTCACTACACTTATAAGGTTTCACGGCCCCTTGCATCCACGTCATTAAAAATCGTACTGGACAGGCAATAATCGAACTATTCTATCCGGATAAATGTATTTTAGATTTTATGACTCCTCCTATTTCGAGAAATCAAGCGTAACGCGACGTGACACACTCACTGGCTTTTATATGACTTTGATGCCATTTATAGTTAAAACGTTTTTCATGTATTGGCAACATGCACTTCTTGTGATTGAAGCCTGTTTTACTTATAACTCATAACAGTTGCAATTTAAAATAAATAATGCATTTAGCTACTACATTTAAATCATCATTTGAATACTCCTTACAAAGATCGATAAGACCGCGCTTAAGTTGAGCATAATCTAGAACAATGGCGCAAAAGTACATGAGTACTGGAGTGGGACAATAAATTACGTTGCGTATGAAGTCTATGCCAATAATATACTTCATTGATATGGGGTAATACGGCCTCCGTGAGGGTGGAAAGGGCCACGTCTTACCCTAAGCCATTCTTATTAAAGCAGTCGTAATTTTTTTCATTTTTAAATTAGTGAACTTGAACTATGTGTCTTCTATAGTATATTCGGCTGTCTATAATTCCTCATTGTTTGAAACCAACAAAATGATATTACTTGAAATATCTATTTCGTAGCCATAAAAGATTCAAAATGTTTTCATCGTTCACATTTTCACTCGTCTGTCAATGTGAATAATAGTTACATATAATTCACTCTGATGGCAGCAAATCATAACTGATGAATTACAGGGGTAGTAGTTTCACTGAAGGGGGCCTTTTTACCTCATTTTCTTTTAAATCAAGAAAAATAATAAACATAAAAATGGAGACAAATGCTTGTTAGGATTATCCACAACATTTTAGCGTATCGAAAAAATGTGACGTTTTTATCCCCCTTTATAGTTTGAAATCTATTTTGAATACAACATTGGGGGTAAATGTGAAATTTATGTGGTGAACATAATTCTAGAAACCAAGGCATATAGACTTATTTTGATATAAATAAATATGGTGCAAGAAAATACATTTATGTAGAGTCTTTTATATAATCCATTATTTCTTGCTAAACGTAACTGTAGCAAATGTGACATAATTAATCTTCCATAATATTTCAAATACTAATTTGATGAAACGTTTGGGAAACCCCCTAATGTATACTTTAAGCGTTACAAATTTGAATTGAAAACAGCATAAGATATGACTATAAATGATAAATGTTTATTAACCAAATAATTTTCAAGAGATAAAACGTCAGATGTCTTAATGAAGGTTGTCGTTAAAATATTGAATTGTAAATATCACAGCGGCAAGTTTTATAAAGTTGACTTAAAATTGTATTAACGTCAGCTTATTTAAGCAGACGTTTTGAAGCTCACATCTACAAGAATGGTTTGTTTTAAACACATTATTCATATAAATATTATGAAAGATACTTTTATGTCCTCAGAGCACATGACAAGATACTCAAAGCCCAAGTGATATTGCCTTTTCATACAAATGTACAAGTAACTAAGCCATTGTTAAAAGTTTTAGCCTGAAAGACTCTGTGTATACATTTTACTTCACATATTGCCGATTTATTTATTATTATTAATTATAGCGATAATATAAAGTTGATTGCTTTTAGGTATGTAACATCTGTTTCCAACGCAAAGTATTCATATACTCATATTATAAACATTTGTTCAGATCGATGATTTAGATTTTCTCAACGGAGATATTCCTTGTACTTAATTACATTAGAAAAAAAAGGAATATAAATCAACTTGGGGCACTAATACCATCCAGAAAGAGACCCTCAACAAGTTGATAAACAATCTGTGGCATTTTGTAATAGATGATAGTTCAAACAACAGGATCCATTTGTCGCAAACCTCAAATATCTGTAGAATGAAACGGGTATTTATGATGTCCACGTCAAATGAACTGAACTAAGTAACAAACCAATGATCTGATTGCTTTCTACCACACAGCATGTACCGCTTTGTACGAAACGAGATTATGTAGCAGTTATGGTTTCACCAAGATAAGGACTACAGTCATACTTCCCGTTAAACTGTTACATTCATCAAGCAACTGGAGAAAATAATACATATTCATGATGATCTACAGGAAACATACCAGTCAAGTCGCCCGATGCAGCGCTCCTGTGCAGTAGGACTGGAAATCATCGTCCTCGTGCACTAGATGACCTGTTGAAAGCAGCAGGAAGGTAAAGTGTACTTTAGACATGACAGCCTAACACTGGTGGATATTACAACGGAAACTACGATTTCGGGCCATTGTTTAGTTACAAAGTCGTCATATAGAGCATGGTCGGACGTGACGAGAAGGTGTGGCTCCAAAATCGTTTTAATATAACGCACTGCGATATCTTCTATGTTGATAAATATAGATTAAACGATCAGATAGATACATCAAAATATAGTTAAATACATGAAACAGAGATTACAGGATGAAAATGTTAAGAGGTAATATATTTGGATAGATAAAACTTAGGTAGATAAATGAATATATACATCCATTAGACAAAAATTATCAGATAAACGGATAGATACGTATAGAGATAATGTATAGAAATATACAAAGAGCATAGATAAACGGATAGATATATAGAGATAATGTATAGAAATATACAAAGAACATAGATAAACGGATAAAGATACGCATAGAGATAATGTATAGAAATATACAAAGAACATAGATAAACGGATAGATATGTATAGAGATAATGTATAGAAATATACAAAGAACATAGATAAACGGATAGATATGTATAGAGATAATGTATAGAAATATACAAAGAACATAGATAAACGGATAAAGATACGGAAATGATCCGTAACTAGATAGACAGATAGATAAATAGACAGAGATAGGGATATAATAAAATAGATACATAGGACATTGATGTAAGGATGAAGATATGTCGCATAAACACATGGATAAACGAATTAAGCTATGGAGATCGATTGACAGAAGTTGGTGGATAATTTGTTTGAAATATGAGAGTCACTATATACAGTATAGCAAGAGCCGGTTTCATAGTTATTACATGTAACAATGACGTTCCAAAAAGAACTTACTTACTGCAGATTGTTTACAATAAGGGATGATTTATCAAAATTCATAACCAAATCTTCTGTAGAAAAGAATCAGTTCTTAGATGTGCATATGGACTTGCGGGAAGCGTACAAACTGTTGGAGGGAAATTACAGGGAGCTATTTGACTAGTTGGAGGTGGGTGATGTTGACTAAATGCCTTTCTTCTA